GCTAATGTAATGTAAAACATATTACATTCCTGATTCTACGAGCCGCCTTTGTGCCACGCCCCTTGAGGCAAGCCCAAACAAGTCCACGTTAGGTCTTAAATTCATAGTTTTCACACAAAAAATAATGATTTTATAGTTTTAATTGCTTTTTAAGAAGACATTTTATTAGGATGAATGAATGAACAACATTACCAAATTGGGGGTTCTCGGAGCATCAGGCGCACGCCTAGGCGGACCTTTTAAATCACTGGGAATAATTGCCTTTAGAAGAACAAAATCACATTTTTGAACATTGTATTTGCAATCATATGAATCATCAATATGCAAAGATGAAGGTATTAAACAGTTGATCAAATATGATACTATGGGTATGTTGCATTAGGCTAAGTGAAGATTAAAAAAAAATCATAAAATTGTAATGTAAAACATTAAAAAATGAAAATAAAAGTTAAATAAGAATGAACTCTAATCCAACAAGACAAAATCAGACACAACAATGTTCTCTGAAATAGCACAGAATGATTAAGACAGAAAATATATACAAAATAAATGCAAATTAACTAGCAGCTTCAAAGTCTGCAAGGGTAGACAATAGACATAAAAGGAGGCATCCTAGCCAATAGTGAATACCATGGGGGATCCCTGACAATTTTCAAGGATGCAGCACCAATGGAAATCTTTTCCCTAAGGAAGAATCTTTAATGCCTAGTTTGAAAAGTCGAAATTAAGTAATGCCTAGTTTGCAACTCAAGTTTTGAAATCAATAGAACAAAAATAACTTTAACTAAGTCCCCAATCGTATGCTTACTGGCTTCTAGATTTAAGCACTCTGAATATAAAATCCATGTTTGATCTACATACCAGATGTTCTCGACAAAGCTCCATTGCTAAAAAAGGAGGGCAATTCAAACTTGAAATAGCAGAACGATCACTATTTCCAGCATTTGCCACCATAAGTGGAGGAGCATCAACTCCATCCACATAGCCCCCACCACCGAATACTCCTACTGCTGTTTGCATTGTCCTGCAATTCAAATAATAGTAACCTATAGTAGGTTAGTATAATAACAACAAATACTTGAAGTAGTACTTTAGTTGCCAAAAGCACACAACAACAACAACACTACAATAGATGAACAGTATACATCCATCGACTTCCAAGTAACAGATTTCAATAGGAATCCTCATAATTGAAAGATAAGATGACCAGGCACAGACAAGGATAAAAATACAAGTATTCAATCCCATATTATGATCTTTAGTTTACTTCTTGTTTCTCAAGAAACCAACTTGCTATTAGAGTTTATGACAATTAACAAGCTAAAATTTATTGAAACTTCTAATATTCATAAAATAATTACTACCAAGTACTGACTATACTGTAAGATTCATTGCATTATGCTACTATATATCTAGTTCACAAAACTAATACAGAAATTGTTGGTACCTGATCATACATAGACACAAGAAAACTTTCACAACCATATCAAGAATCCAGAATAAGAATAAGTGTCACATCATGTGGATATAGGTATCTAAGCATGTTATGTTCAGGTGTGAGAGCTTAGTAATTGTCAGATACACAGCTTGACAACTAAAATTATTAATAACTTTTTTATCCCTTTCCATTTCTGTTGGCATTTGCATTTGAAGCAATATATTGATACTAGTATGGATTTATTTTTGAGAGCAAGAGCACTTCAAAAGACAGATTCACTGACCAAATTGCATTTGTTGGCATAGGAGAGGTTCTCCATCATAAACAATAAATGATATCAAAGGGATGTTTTCAGAACTCCTTGTTGTAATTGATTTTGAGATTGGATTCCCCTATTTTACAACAACAACAAGAACAAGAAAAATATTAATAATAATTTGCTATTTCACACTGATATGGCTGTCCTGTCCTTTGTTATATAGCTCTACAAAGTAATTCAAAGAATACTGAAATTAGTACAGGTAAATCAAAGAAGAAAGAAAGAGAAGAAACCCTAATTTGTTAAAAGGAATCAAACCAAGAAGGAACACAAAACTCTACTGTCAGATGCTGCATTCTATCCATGCTAATCAGGAAAATATTTTTCACTAAATATAGAATTAGCCAGCCATATTTGCCACTTTCCAAGACTGTAACATGAGACGGAAGGGCATATCCTTAATAAAATATAACATCATGAGAGCCTACTAAAAATGATTTCAAATACTGGAAAACTTATACCTTAGCAAAGGAGATGTAATTACTAAATCAATCCTCTTGACAAGTCCAGATGCATGAACATGCTTATGTAAATTATCAACCTGTAACAGAATTACAAAATCTTCTTTAAGCATTTTAGTTTCAGAAGATAAATGACAGTGATCTAAGACCGCCAAAAACATCACTTTCAAGGTAATAGTATGCAAGAAATTTTAAATGGAAAGAGTGCATAAGGCTATAAGTTGGCGATAGATAAGTTCCTAGAGATGAAGAGCTAGTACCTGCTGCCAACCAAGAGGGGTAAGGTGTGCATCAAAAAGTTCTGGAGATAAGTATGCTTTATGGTTCTTTTCTCCTTCTACATTGTGAATCCCTTGTGCATGCCTCACCTGGATGTATGGTTTTATAAGAGCCCAATGCCTTTGGAAGTAAAAAGGATGAGGAAAGAAGGAAATCCTGAACATGCTTCATATCAGATTCAGCATATTCAAATCTGCAAATCATGTTAAACATAGAAAGAGAAGTGATACAAACCAGGTGCAAAATTTTACATCGGTGTAATGGGAACAGACTTGTACTTGAAGTGTTATCCATATCTGCAAAATGAAGCAATCAACAATTTCAAATTTCAAATAAAATAAAGCTTCAGAGTTGTAATACAAATACATCACTTCCTCAAATTTTATTCAACTTTTGAGGACAAGAAATATAGAAACCAGGTTCAACATGTACCCCTAAGAAGATTCAGGCATGATGTAGTTATACCTTATATGGCTTATCATGGAAGACCCAATTAGCAGAGTTAATGGGTCAGTTGTAGCAGGGATGCCTGCATGGGCCCATTGGCACTCACGACAGAATTCAGATTTGCTCCTCACAGAGTGCACCTCACTGCACGTAGCAGTTGTGCATTGGGAACCCCATGAATGACAATATACAAGTACCGGATATATTCCCAATGTGCGGATGCAAGTGCTGTGAGGTCAGTGTGAGGGGCGCTCTGTGAGGAGAAAATCCGGACCTTTCATAAGATGGAGAGCCTACCCTTCTGCAGGTCTGAACCTGTGCCTCCACAAAATGAAGGAATGCCTCCACTATTGGGTCAAGGGCACAGCACCCTTGCCATGACCTAACCTATCTCCCCATAGCACTCTGTCTGAGACCACATTTTCTACAAATTATCAGAGCTACCATATCTTCATCATGCTTTTTTCCACATGTTCCATTTAGAACCTTCAATTGTACCAAATCACTCATTCTTATAGGTCTATACATCATATAAAAAGTTTATTTCATCATATCATATTGCCAAATCAACACACTAATTTCCTTTATTGTGTAGCCACTTGTTGCCCCAACAAATTATTCTTAGTACACACATTCATGCCATGTCTAATAATCCTCCAAGTCTTACTATTCAACCATATCAACATCCTCATCTCTGTTATACTCACGTTATGAATGTGTTTTAACTCCTCAACATTTCACTCCATAATGCATTGACACTCTTATAACTATCCTTTAAATTTTATATTACCATGCTGCTAGCTTTCCACTAATCCCTCTCCGGACTCATGAATAAAAAAAATTATGCCATCTACAGACAATATATACTATGTGACCTCCTATTGTATATGCCTAGTTAATAATCACTGAGTGTAAAATAAAGGCAAAGCCTTGAAGTGGCTACAATTTTGTGGAGTTCTAAATTCGTAGCCTAGAACATCTTCAAATTTTTCTTTTGGTTTCCAAGCACGATAGATTGCAAAATTACGTTCATTACAGATTTGCTGAATGTGCAATTACTTTGACAGTAGCAGACAAGACTCCCCAACAGAAGACATTTTAAGCTCAGCTACTTGAACATTCTGTCTACTACTCTAATCCATGCTCCCTCGTATATGAAGCCCACTATACCAATAAACCGATAAATCCAACGGACAGTAGCAGACCTAATTTCTTCCAAAACTAAGTCAGTCGCAAAGTAATAAAATGACAACAAATAACCGGACGTGGATACAGGATTATTTCCTAACGAGATCCAGACTTAGGCCATGGCAAAAGAAACACGGTTCATTTGAAAATACGGAAGCACATAACGATTTCCTCAATAATATGCAAACAAATATAAAATTCGAGTATCCTCGCAATCAGGCATAGAAATTGTGAACATAAATGCAAAATTGTGAGTAATCGGAACAAAAAAAGATCCCCGCATTATCAGAAAAAAAAAAAGGAAACGGAAGACGTAGATCTAGGGAAAGACTAGATAAAGGGAAACGAGGAAAAGGAATGCAAAAGATGAAGGCAAGCAAGAGAAAATGGATGAAGAAACAGAGCTAGGGCTAACCTATAAGAGACACGTTGTTGCAATTCACCATGATTAAAAACAAGCAACCTCTTCCTATAAATTCCGTGGCAAGTATAATATTAATACCTGAAAGAGAGGAGGACGAAGAAGAGGAGCAAACGAGAGCGAAACGAGTTGACGGATGAGCAGACAAAGACGCAATTGAAACTGGCCTTGGCCTTCCTTTTATAGACGTAACAGTGGATTGATGATGGAAGAGAAACGGTGAAGAAGACGAAATACCATGAGTCATGCTGCTGTTGTTGTACCTGGCCTCCTTAATAATATGCTTTGCCAGTTTTTGGTTTGTTTGGGTCGGTTCTCTCTCTCCTTCCCCACTCTCCGTGAATGAATGGTCCAGAATCCGCGTTTGGACTTTGGACCTCGAACGCCGTGAGCAAGATGTGGTCCGAATCTCCTTTTTTATCTTTTTTCTTCTTCTACTTCATTTTATTTATTTTTTTAATTATATAATTTAACCGACGCATATTGATTATTGATAATCCTCATAAATGGGAAAAGGAAAAAAAAAACTGAAGCAGGGACCAACCAACGCACACCAAGCAGCACGCCGCATGTTTCTTGGGTTGGACTGTGATCGGACGGTGCATATTGCCACTTGGAAACAGTTGGTGGTGGCCTGGTGGGGCCTCTTCCAATCCTGATGGGGGGTCATGGATGGAATCATGCGTGATAGCGCATTGACGTGGTGCATTAATTAGTTCGTTGAATTGGTCAAAATTGGCAGACAGGAATAAGGGATCGCCCGCGTATCATCCTGGATATGCCTATACCACGATCTGGCGCTGCGTAAAGGCAGGAGGCAAGTTGCGAAGCAAAGGTTGTTCCTTTTTTACTCCACCCAAACGGGGCGCGCGGATTTAATCTAAACCGCGAGCCGCCCAAGTGGTGGAGGTGGAGGGGATCTCAGCTCAGGTCAGGCTGCTTTCTTTCTTTTATTGGGAGATCATTCCGATTCAGTTCTCTCACCAAACAACCGTGGAAAGTTGATGGTATCAGCCCTCAGGTTTCTGCCATCTTTTATGTTCGCTGTTGGTAAGGCACCCTCCAAAGCCAGCTGCATTCTTGCCCAGTAAGCCATGAGGGAATAGAGCAGTACCATTTAGTTGTGTTGAGTGTTTGCGAAAAAGAAAAAGTGAAGATAGGTACACCGTGCGTAGTAGGGACCATATATGGATTAGGGGCTATGGTGGCCCACTGTACCGCTTGAATATTAACTAATGTGGAGCTTCAAAGAAATTAAGAGTGCGTTTGGTTCACAGACAAGACTGGAATCCAAATCCTAAGGAATCGAAATTAGAATCATCATTTCCAAACTGCTCGTAAGAGACAGAAATATGAGAAGGCCAGTTCGGCTGAAGAGAGAAATAGATCTTTGGTAACTGCTCGTAGAAGGTGGTGAAATTGGGTAGGGATTCGCCAGAAGCTACTACTGTTGTATTTGTGCCTTTTGAGGTGACTACTATGTCCAAGCCAATGTGCACCAGTTTTAAAATGGAGTTAGTGTAAGCCTAAAAAAACCGGTTCGGTTCAGTCTCAATTAAAATGACGAAATCTATAGAACAAAATCCTAGGAGCAGCTAAATCCCAGTTTTAATGGGATTGTACCATGAAAACTCGATGCCGACTATGGAATTGGAGATCCCTAAACCTCAAAAATTGTTATCGGAAAAAGAAGAAAAATCCAACGCTTCCATAACAAAGACAAAGAAGTTTGGGAAGAATAAAGCATAGCAAAATTCAAATCCTTTTACCTATAGCTCAAGATTCTTCGAGCTTGAGTTCATTCGACCAGACCTGAACTATGGAAATGTGGAAGTTCTCCAGATCAGTTACGGGCTTGAGGACTTCAGCAGACAAATCAGAATCCTGGGAGAGAGGCAGAGGAGGGAAAGAAGAGAGAGAGAGAGAATGCATTCATGTATCTATCTCGGTGCTAAATGCAAACAGATCAGAATTTTTTCCACAAAAAACTCTGAACTAGGCGTTTGCCATTAGTACAAAAAAACGTAAATAGCGGAATGGGAATAGCATTCCGGGGGAGAGGGAGGGAATGGTTATTCCCCCATACGGGGGAATTACATTCCACCTACTCATTTCCATTCCTATCGACCAAACATCCGAAAACGGATTGAACCATTCCGATTTCAATTCCAGGGTCCTATTCCCTCAAACCAAACGAACTCTAAGATAGTTTTGGATCTGGGTTTGTTCGAACTGGATTGTGGTGCTATACTTTTTGAGTTGCCGTAGCCCGTAAGGACCTAGAGTCAGAATTAGAATCATCCAACCATTCGGTTGGGCGAATTAGAATCTAATTCCCATTCATCCTTTGAGAACAAGAATTTGTTTTTAGTCAATTCTGATTTTGATTTCAATGAACAAACCATTTTGATACCAATTCTGGAAGATTTTCCATTCTCATTCTAAATCCAATTTCAACTACAAACCAAACACAACCTAAATTGTTGAACACCTCCTAAAAGTTGTTTTCTATGTAAAGAAACATGCATTCTTTATTATTTATCAAGAGGTTTAATTAAGGGGGTGTTCGACAACATGATTGATTTTAATTTATTTTTTAAACAACTGCAAAATTGTATCATATTTTTGTTTTCAACATGATTGGTGTCGAATACTTCGAGCCTGTTCATTTCCTCTTAACTCTTATCTCTTAAGAGGAATCTTTTAACTTTAAGAGAAAAATTGTTGTTCGTTTCCTTTTATCTCTTATCTCTTAAAGTGCAATCATACAAATTTTTATTTTCGAATTATATCCCCAAAAAAACAAACAAAAACTTAAATATATAGGGTCAAAGTAGATATTTGATAATTTTCAGAATTTAGAATTCAGAATTCAAAACAACATTCTCTACATTTAGAGTTCAGAGGAAAGAAAAATTCACCAATACTAATATACCTCTTAATGTAATTATTGCACTTTCAGATGTCAGACTTCAGAACAAACAAACAGATCCTTCGTTTTGAACATTTTTTCAATTTCCTACTCCGGATAGGCACTACACAGTGCACACGCCAAGGGGGCCTTTGCCACATTGCTTCGTAGACATGCATATTAATGTTTGTGATGTGAACAAGTGCACACGCAAGGAAACAACATTATATGGTTTATTCTTCTTTCTTCTTGTTTGGGAGAACTCCGTTACATAGTTTTTTAAACATTACAAAGGTAATCCAAAGAGTCACTTTAGCTGATGGATGATTACCAGTAAACGCCACGCTTCTGTGCATGTGGAGTAATATTGTAGATAATAAAATTGCTGGCAACCTCCATGTGGTAGAACGAAGGTGTGTCATGTTTACAGGGAACCCAACTGGCCCGATCGATAAGATAAGTAGATAACCTCCATGTGGGTGTGTTCACCACTTTTGGATGTTTGCGGTCCGATTTGAAGAATTTTTCATATCAAATTAACAACTTACAGTTTGAGAAATTTTTAGACCAAATCAAATCGTTTTGATTTGGTTTAAATTAAATCAAACCAAACCATTTTATTATTGTTTGGTACGGTTTCTAATATGGTTTAGAAACTTTACACCACTTTATGCTTTGCTTGGATTACAAAACTAGTTTAGAAAAAAAATAATTGATTAACAAAACAAAAATAACATAAATATCAGTACGACAATATCAATAGGAGAATAACTAAATAACACCATAATTTAACATATTTAAAGTTGTATAACATGAAAATGTTTACTTAAACTCACAACACTTAAGCATAGAGAATACATATCCAAAAGATAATGTTTTGGTCACTTCAAAATGAATCACTCATACGCTACTTCAATATAATACAGTTAAAATTTATTCGACGGTGAGTTGGCAAGAATAGTTAAGAGTTTCGTTGTATGAGAATAAGAGAGAGAGAGAGAGAGGGAGTGGGAGGGAGAAAGAGAGCTTACCGCAATCACAAAGACAGACGGCGAATGTCTGATTGACAACAACAACTAGCGGCAAAGGCGAAGTAAAACAAAACAAAATAAAGTTGTGTTCGGTCATTGGTGTTCGCAAAAGTAAAACTGCCACTGTGGCAGCGGCAATCGCAAAGATGGACCTGCGCGTGGCTTCAATTGTCCAGTCACCAGTGTTTCTGTGTTATCTGAGAAGAAAAAGAAAACCGAAGCAAAAGGGCAGGAAAAGAAAAAGTCAAAAAGGCTAGGTATCAACGTATCATGGATCGATTATCAAAGAGGAGAGAGAAATTAAAATTTAATTATTTGATATATATATATATATATATTATATATTTATATTAATACGGTTTACGGTTTGATTTAGTTCATAAAATTTAATAAACCAAACCGTAAATCGTATTTTTAAATTCATAAAACCGAACCAAACCATTATAAATTTAGACCAAACCAAACTACAAAATCGGTTTGGTTTTACGATTTGAGCCGTATAATGAACACCCTTACAATTCAGATTATGCTTTCTCTCCAAATTTCAAGTACTCTTATATATGATCTGGGAGGCACGCAACAACAAGTTTCACTTAAATAAGAATGTGGATCCTGACTCCTTGGTGGACAAAGCAAATGAGATGATTGTTGACTCAAGTCTCACCCTCTATTGCGATAAATTAAACGTGTAATCTCTATGCCCAACAGCAAAAAAAAAAACCATTATCTTTTATTCACCGAATGATCTTATGATCAATGCACAAACAACGCAGGCAACAGTTTTGTCATCAAACAACCTGGTGACAAGCAGGATGCAAGCCAATGGTCAATTTGTAGAGCCATTGACAGCTATGATGCAGAACTTCGTGCAGTTATCAAGGGTTTAGAAGCTACTATAGAGTTACAATGCCAATTGGTGCAAGTTTTCTTGGACAACGAAGTGATAGTTAGTTAAGAAATTAAATCTTCAAGTAATGGACCGAACATAGATTGATCAAGTGCAGTTTGAGCAGATATCACATCTCCAAAGCCAGTTCAGAGACGTAAAATTCATCTACATACCCAAAAGTAAAAACATACAAGTTCATCTTTTAGCTTATTATGCTTGTAAATATCGAAGGCACTCTACTATGGACATGCTATCTTGTACAACCTTTTCTTTGAAATAATATATTATCTATCATCTTTGGCCTAAAAAAATCTACAATGTCACCATACCATGTTTTTGATATAGTAAATAAGGTTGGTTTATTATTAGGAGTCCCGATCTCCTGTCCACATTTATCTCATCCATATATGGAGAACATTTCATCCTCTGCATAATATTATGTAGGGGAAGATGTTCCCAATTCACGGGGTAGTGTATTGTGGGTAGGCATGGGCAG